TTATTTATTTTTGAATGTATTATCCCAAATTTGCACTAGGCTTTGGACGTTTAAATGGACGTTTAAAAATTCTATGAAGAAACGAACTCAGGTATTTTTCAATGCCCAATTTGTGTCATTTAATGCCAAGTGGAAATCTGGCATTAGTTAGAATTTTCAAAATATATTTAGAAGTGAATCTAATAAGCTCTGCTTCATCGATTACAAAATTTTTGGCATAACTTTATAAACTATAAAAATGGCAGCAGTTAAGCGAGTCTGATACCGTTTAGTTTAGGTATGTACTTAAGAGAAGAATTTCCTTCAGATACATATGTATGTATATGTATGTAATAAAAACAAGTCACAGTGCACAAATCTGTGGGTTACCTAAGCGGCTTTCACTTTATTCATATTTTAGAATTTTTATTATAAGCTATCAATCATTTATTCTGTTGAAATTTGGTACAAGCAGAAAACATACCAAGCTACAAAATCTCTTTCAAAAAAAGAAGAAGAATACTCCCTTATTACACTGCTCGCAAAATGCCATTTAACTCTAAGTACAAGCAATAAAAATTAATCGTCTGCTCATTGAAGAGGCAAATATGCGGTAAATTTGGCTTTAAAAATTTGCTCCCCAATATAAAGTCATTCCACCCACTACAACTCAAATAAACAAAAAAAAAAACAACAACAAACATAGTAGGAATCGGAATGCCAACAAAAGTGTGCCGTTGGAATTCCAAAATTGTTTTCATTACATTTTTGAAAATCTATAAAACTCACACCCACCAAAGGAGACAACGGAGTGGGACACGCCAGTGTTTTGCATAGAGCGTATAGGCTTGTGTAAATTGTAATGGGTGGTTAGATGCTGAAGTCCAAACGATGAGGGACACACATTTGACTACAGTTTACGTATTATTCCACTTTAGATGAATTTCTTTATTTGTTAAAGGGCAATCGTTTTAAGGTACATACTTACATATGTATTTGAAAATAAAACGCATTGAATAAATACATCCAAAGAATATTGAGGTCATAAATTTTCCCGTTCGGTTGTTGGTTGAAAGTGTTATTGTTGGTGGTCTAATAGAATCGATTGCGCGTTTGTGTGATTTTAGAAATTTTCAACACGTATTTAACGTGTTCGAATTGGTGTAATTAATTGCTTTGGCTTTGACTGGCTGATTGCACCCCTACATAGCCTCTCGGAAAGTGTGTGCGATAATGATTTGAGTGTGGCATTGATTTTGCGCGCCATTGCAGGGAGCATTTGGTTTTATAAATTATGTGTTCATTTAAAAGGATTTAAATCTTTGTATGCATATTTTCACAGCAACGAGGTCGATTTATTAGATCTGCTGAAGGAATGTAAATCTCGTAATTTATTAAATTATTTGCAAGCTGGAGTTTATTTGTAAAAGAAACTTTCACACACACCGGATCTGTCAGAGTGTTTGAGTTAATTTAACCCTCGCATGACCTAAGCCTATAAATACAAAAAAAACACATAATTTGAATTATAAAATGTTGTTCATCAAGGGCCGAATAAAAAAATTTTACATATTACAAAATAACAAAAAAATCTATGTCTGTATGTAAAAACAAATTTTCTCTCAAAAACGTTCATTAATTTCAGTAGCAAACTATTTTTTCACTAACTATTTTATTCTAAAAAATGTTCATTCATCTTTTCATAATTTGTTCCTATAAAATAATGTAGGTGTTCACAAGTGCCTCATTATCAGGTTACCTGGTTATTATTATTCTATAAGGTAGTTTATTCTAGTAAACTGAATTAAAACTATAACCACTTAACCAGATAAGCTGGAAACAAGACAGGTGTAAACATCCACAATGTTTTCCAAAACTTTTTTTCTAAATTTTTTCTAGGTTTATTTATTAAATTTTTTTTTCTCAAAGAAATAATTTTTGCATACATTTTTTCATACAAGCTTTTATAATTTTGGTAGACATTATCTTCCCAAAATATAACTTTTATTGTTGTAATATTAATAAAAAATATAACCACATAAGCTGATAACATGACAGGTGTGAACACCGACAATGTTTTCCAAACCTTTTTTTTTCAAATTTTATTTTTTTCAGGTATCTTTTTTAAGAGTGCTTTTCCATACACTTGATTTTTCCCACAGAAATGATTTTTTGCCCACAATTTTTTTCATACAAGCTTTTATAATTTTGGTAGACATTATTTTCACAAAATATAATTTTTTCCTATTAACTTAAAAGGGAAATGTTCTCCTCTAAAACGATTTTTTCCTAAAAACTGATTTCCCTTACATTTGTATCCTTAAAAATTTATCTAATTTTTGGGAATGGAATAAAAAAACATAATTTTTTGGGATTGAAATGTAGTGGAAATAAGTTTTTAGGAAATAACTATTTTAGGGAAAATCAATTTTTTTTTAATTTTGTAGGAAAAAAAATATATTTTGGGAAAATTATTACTTTTTATTTCATTCACAAAAATAGATTATTTTTCCCGACATAAATCTATCGTAAAAATAATTTTTTTCTCCAAAAATTTTGTTGAGTTTCTAAATTTTTAGTTATTTAATTTTTGGGAATGGAATAAAGAAAATAATTATTTTCTGGGATTAAAATGTATTGGAAATGAGTTTTTAGGAAAAATTCATCTTATGGGAAAACTATTTTTTTTTAATTTTATAGGAAAAAAATATTTAGGGGAAAAATTATTATTTTTATTTCACTCCTAAAAATAGATAATTGTTCCCGACATAAATTTATCGCAAAATTAATTTTAAATATTATTTGTGTAACAAACTTACATACATACATACTTCTTTCCTAAAAAACTTTTTTTGCCTAACTTAAGTTTTTTTCTTAAATTTTTCTAATAAGTTTTCGAAAAATTTTTGTACTTTGAAAAGTTTTTCTAATATTGATAAAAATATATTTTTCTGAAATTTATTTATAAGAATATATTAATGAGGCACAGTCTAGAAATATAAAATATTAAATTACTGAGAAACTCATAAAATTTCCTTATGAGTGGAATAGTTTTTTAGGAAATATATTTTCCTTGCTCCTGAATGGGTTAGTGAAAGATAAGTCCTTGTTTTTTACAACGCAGATGCACCTAAGGATCGAAAAAATTTAGGGAAACGTAAGGTCTGCCATGTTGTTGTACCAGCGTACAAAGTTCGTAAAAAGTTTGGAGGAACGATGTTTGAGTATTTAGCAGTCATTGGTCAGATATAAATGTGGGTCGTTACGTTTGCGTTGAGCCGACTGTCGTGGGATGTGTCATTTAGCAATCTCCTATGAAATTTTAATTTTAAAATTAGTTCAATTATCGTATCGACGGCTGAGTGGAAGATCGACCTATCTCGGCAGCCAGTTCGAAAACGCCTTATCTCAGATAACTTTTCAAGAACGCCCCTTTCAGAATTTGATTGAAGAACAGCATATTTCAGAATTTTATTGAAAAACACCCTATCTCAGAATTCGGTTGGAGAACGCCCTATGCCAAATGAAAATACATTGAAAATATAGGGCGTTTTTGAAGCGGTAGCTGAGATAGAGTATTCTTCAACTTCAATTCTGATATACGGTGTTCTTCAATTAAATTTTGGAATAGGGCGTTGTTGAAAAATGTTCTGCGATAGGGCGTTTTCAAACTGGCTGCCGAGATAGGTCGATCTTCTACCGTGTTTTAGAGTTTGCACTGTCAATGGCGGGGACAGTGCAAACTCTAAAACAATAGCTATGGAAAACTATTTCCAAACTTCAAAGCGCAATGGTTCGGGATGTGCGGTAGCTTTATTCACCTTTCTTAGCGCTGTTTACTTGACGTGGCCCTTCTATTGATATTTCAGAGAAAGCTGATATGTTAATGCCTCTAAGTTGATTTAATAAACGAATTTCAGACCCGTCTTTAACGACCTACGAGTTTGCACGAAATCGGACGATCAAGACCTTCGTACCTGTTCCCCACAAGAGTAGATAGAGATAAAGATACCAATATTTGGTACTGTGTTTTACCAGTTCTCGGTGACCGGACTGGTACAGCAAAGTCTGATTATGTTGTATGTTGACAACAGCTTTTCTTTGTCTTTATACAGGGGCTGCGGGCGAGCGAGTTTGAGAACTTTCTGGCAGCTGTGTACTTTATTCCGTATTGTGTTGCGTACGAAAAAATATGGTAGCCGAGAATTTCGTGGAGGAAAGGATTAGGCTCTTTGCGGTAAAGAACCGAGATCGGTCGGAGAAGATGACTGCTTTTGAGCATAGGCTATGTATTTCATTTCCGGAAGCCAATATGACGAACAATAGTCAGCGTACGAGATCATAGAAACTCCCTCAGGTTGCTAGGAGAATTTCAATGTGTTAAAACTGTTCATAAGTGGTTAAAGAACATTACCCTGTGGGACGCCCTATTTAAGTTTTCTGCGTTTCGAGGTTTGATCCATCCTTTGAGTCCCCGTGAGAGAGAGGAGGACTCAATATCTTCTAGTAACGTGGACTGGCAGACGGGGTCAAATGCCTTCGACAAGTCCAACACTACTAGGACAGTTCTCGAATTTCCAAATCGATATCCCTACTGCGGGGCATACCCGGGGTGGGCCTGGCGACGACGGTCACGCTGGTTCGCCAGTACAGTCAACCCAGCCGGGAAATTTGGGGTGGATTGAAGCGAAGTACTGCATCTGTGACCGCCTTGCAAAATTCCCGATCGACAAGATGAAATCTGTTGGTGTCGGAAGAGCGGCGAATGTGCTCTCGGTAACTACCGCCAAGCGACATATCACTTAGCTTATATCTACTTAAGCTCATTAGGATGGGTCTATGATTGGCTGCATGCGAGCCAGATTAAGCTAACACCTTGCTAACTAAGCAGAAAAATCAATTAATTAAAAATTTCACAAATTTTATTCGCAACTTAACGGAAGTCTTTGTCAAAGATTATTAATACGAGGTTGTGAAAAAATGTACATAAATGCCAGCCAATATTAAATGCACAAATTAATTTTTTTCCACAAATATGTTTTCATAACTTTGTACCTCAATTATTTTCCACTTAACTGAACTCATTCAAACGTGTCGAATGGCCAATTAAATCAATTTAACATATATTTAATTAAATGCCCACACATTACTGTCCCTGTTGTCGTTTGACATGCCTCAGCCGTCGCAATACAGAAAGGGGCAAAACCAAAGCCAAAAAACTCTAGCCAATTTCTCTTGACTTTTTTTGCAATTGAAACAGACCACAACAAAAAACAACGCACCAAAAAATAATTCAACTTATTGTAATTTTTTTTATTACGTTTCATTCGTTCTTCACCACAGATGTCCACAGCAACAATGGTGGCGGCAGCAGCAGTAGTAGTAGTAGCGGTGGCGGTGGTGGTGGAGGTGGTGGTCATGGTTTGATCAAAGCGTCATCAGCAGCTGCAACAGCCACCTCCATGGCGGCCGCCGCTGCTTCTATAGCCGCCTCAGTGGCGTCAACCACATCCTCGCCTGCGTCAGCAAGTCATCTCGGTCATCACCATCATCACACACATCATCATCACCATCATCCGAATGGTGGCCTGTTGGCCGCAGCGGGTTTGGGTGGCATGGGTGGCCTCGGCATACCGGTAAGCTGTGCAGGTTTACGTGGTGTGGCGAGTGGTCTCAGTGGCTTGACCACAGCTGGTGGAGTCGGTGTCGGCATTGGCAGCGGTGGCAGTTCGAGTGGCAGCAACAGTAGCGGGCATGCGGGTGTGCTGAGTTTGCCGCCAGGTCATGTGCCAGATATTTGCCCTATCTGTGGTATAAAAATTTCGGCAGAAGAATGGAATTCACACTTTTTGACCGAACTAGACCGACTCTACAAGCTGAGCTCGGGCATGGAACGTACGAATTTACAGGCATCTTACATGTTTGCGCCGCCTTGTCCGGCGCAAGAGAATGCCATACGCACCAGTCATAATCGGTGGGAGGTAAGTTAATCAAAGTTTTATATGTATACGTTATACTATACTTATTTTTCTTTGCCAAGTCGTAAATTAAAGTTGGTATCAGTGCGTTGATTGCTTTGAATTTAATTTACAGACTTTCCAAAGGATACGCAATAATAGACAGAATCGTTTAAGAATAAAGGGTCGAAAACGAAAATATGGCAATGATTTGTACTTCATGGAAAACTTGTTCTGCAATTCCTGCCCGATTTGTAAGCGAAAATATGCGATCGAAGCTGGAAAGATGCAACCTGAGGTGAGTTCATACAATTACTTGTAAAAAGATAAGTAATCCTACTTAAAATAGAAGTATAAGAGAACATCCATGTTATTCCCTTTTCTTAAAAATTTTCACAATTGGGCAAACTCCAAATTGATTTTAGACCCATGGTTTCTTTAGCAAATTTTCTTGGAATTACATGCAGAATCCGTCTGTGCTATACGCGCATAGTCGAAAAAATCGTCCGTACAAATTGACCCGCCCTACTGTAATACATATATTAGGTCCAAAATTTGTTTTTCCAGTTACCCCCCAGAACTGAAGAATATCGAAAATAAGGAGAGCCGATTTTCTAGCAATTCTACAAAAAAAAATTATTTTCCTCATATAAATTTTAACCGGTTTGGAGATGGCACCATATGTACATCCACCTTGACAGTTTAGGTCTTATGCCCCAGTTCCGTGCCATAAATTTCCTGCCCATGTCTTTTGAATAGTATTATCTAGGTGCGGATTCCATGAGAGCTTGTCATCAAGTATAGCTCCCAGATATTAGCCCTCTTTGGAGAAGTGTATCTTTTCACCTTGAAGTAATAGTTCTAGTAATTTTTCTAAATTTTCCTTGTTAGACTCTGAAGAGCGTGGATAGTAGATCTTGCTGGAAGATAGGCATATTGGTGTCTATGCAGAGACAGGGCAGTTGTTCAGTTCCGCGATCTATAAAATGAAAACTCCACAGTTCTATAAAGTCTATGTTTCAAAAAAATAAATCCGAGTAAAGAATTTACCCCAAAAAAGGTCAGAAAAGATCAAAGTAATTTCTCATCTCATCTGCACTTTACTGACAAGCTGCAAGAATGTAAAATTCACCCAAAAACTGTATTCTAGTTCTACACAAAGTTGGATATATACAGAGGAAGTTCTACGTTCTTTTCTCTTCTGTAAGTTGAAACTCTGGCAGGAATTCAGTCTAAGTCTAGCAGCGTGTGATTCTAGAGGCCGGGCTGTTCCAAAACCTAGCAAGCATCGTCTTAAGTCTGCATTATTTCTACAAATTTCCGAATGCAAAGCCATCGATAAGAAAGTCGGATGAACAGATCCTGGTACCACACCACGGTTTATTTCCATAAATAAAGGACTCCGCATTAATGAATTTCAGTATATCATACAGAGGGATGGCTGCACTCTAAAATATTCTGCAGGTATGGTTGACCAACTGTTTTTATCCTCATTCCCGAAAGGATTGAGCACTTGCAGAGAAAAAGTTCAACCGTCTCTTTTGAGCTCGGGTCTATGCAGCTGTGACAGACCTATGGGCCAGTTAATTTTCGTCTGGCTGACTACCTAAGCAAATATTCACCGGCGATCTCAAGCAAGCATGGTTTTTTATGTTCCTTACCGCCTCCTCATTTGCAAAATTTCCGCCTGCGTGGTCCAGAGAGCTTCGAATTGAGTTGTTTTGCCGTCAAATAACTATTTCTCTCTGCGAGTCCAGTCACAGTGGCTTTAGAACTTTGTGTGTGGGTAATAATTGGTTCAAGTTTTACATAGGGGTATATTTAGAATGACACTGTTTCAGAATAGCCTTTCTCTCCAGTGTCCTAAAGCTCGCTATCTGACTCTGTTGGTAGCCCTGAATTTTCGATAAAAGGAGATAGACTATAAGATATCGGAACGTTGACAGCCTCCGCTGGTCCGAATATCACTCCACCCATAGCGCCAGTAGGAGCTGAACTCTGGCTTCAACTATGTTGTTTAGTCTGGTAGGCTCTAGCTACCCCGATTGTTGATCCTTCAAAAAGATTCTCGCACCTTTACCACAGCTCATTATATAAACAACCATGGTCATCCCAAGCAAAGAGCAATTGAATATTTTTCGAATTTTTCCGCGTCCTCCATCTCAGAAATATCACTGTCGACTAATCAATTATGGGTTCAAGTAACGGAACCCGAAGCTGACATGACTTTTAACGGCAATAACGTAACCTGCCGGTACATACATATGTAGATGTCTCAAATTTCCAACACCCAACGCGAAAATATCTTCAAAAATTTTTGCGTATAGCTATCTTCTAAAAATTAGTCCACATGGTGTTAGTTACATTTTTTGCAGAGTAAGATCTGAAATAATATATGAACGGGTCCACGCCTCTCCTATGAGTATGAGCATTGCTTTTGTCTGAATAATTCTGCCTTGAAATAAAACATCAACTCACTAGTTCCCAGTTACATATTTTTACAATTTCGAATTTTTATTCGTTTCCTCAAAAACCCAACCAGGAGGACACCAAAATGCAAGAAGAAATCGAAACGGTCGATGTTGAAAGTTGCAATGACGATGTACCCGATTCTGGTTCCGAGCTGACGTCACACTCCCAACTCAGTGTGAATAGCTTCCATCAGCACCAGAACAGCATTGGCAATCAGACTCTGGGCAGCAATATGCACAGCAGTAATAGTCAACCGGGAAAATTAGATGGCATCTTATATCGAACGGCTTGTGTTATGAATAAAGATGCTGGGAATAGTGAAGATGATTTGAATGCAACCAGTACTAGCGGCGGGGGTGGTGGCGCTGGCGGCATGACACAAAATTGGAATCACGCGCAACACAACACAGCTGCCACGATAACAGCGCAACAACAAGGACATATCAGTGGTGAGTGTGATGAGTGGTTTTAATGATTTGTTTAAATATTTTTATAAAATACTAAATGAATATACACACTTAAGTAGTATGTACTTAATTGGCTAATTATATGTATACATACATCTGTAAGAGTGTGTTTTTGTGTAGAATTGAAATATTTTGTGTGTAAATCCATTTTCAAAACTCAGCTTCTGCTTTACTAATTTTTACTTCTTCCCCCCTGTATTCCTCCAATTACAGTGAAAAATGTCAGCGAACTGTCATCGACAACCCCTCACTTCTACAACGCGGACTCGTGTGGCGCTGTTGATGAGCGCTCCAGTGGCGGTGGTGGTGGCAGCGGCAATTGTAACGGCAAGGATGTTTCAATGGAAACATGCAATGCCAACGACAGCGACGAGGATGTCATTGTAGACGACGATGATTCTATTAAAATGACGAATCTGTGCAGCAATAAAAAACGAAAGTATGACGAGAAGGTGGTTAGTAGCAGGTAAGCAAAGGCCAAGGGAGGAGGCGAAACAATTCGCCACAATTGGGATCACACTTTAAAGTAAAAATTGCACAAATATTCTTTCTACAGTAATAAAAAGGGACATAGGCGGTTATTTAAAAGCTACACAAAAGATTCGAGTCATTTAAAATAAATGCAATTTTTTTCAAAACATTTTTCTCTTCCTTTCAAAGGTTAAAGACACTTGCCAAAATTAATTTTATATGACCGGACTTTAACCAAAATATGTGGTCCAGTTATCCAATGATCAAAAATCTATGTTCATTTTTTATTTAGTTTTTAAATGAAAAATAAATAAATTATTTTAAATTTTTATTGGCAACAATTTAGGTTTTGATTTTGTATCGCCAAAAAAAAAATTTGTCTGATTTTTAAAATGCCAAAAATTTACGTCCAGCTTTTATTTACCATCCTTTATGCCCAGTTTTTAAATGACAAAAAATGTATGTTCGTTTGTTATCGGTCCAAAATGTGCTTAAGAGTTTTTTAACTGTCGAAAATGATGTGTGATTTATTGAATGCCAAAAATGTGGACAACAATTCCTGTCCAGTTTTAAATGACAAAACATACATATATGTCCAGTTTTTTAAATACCAATAATTAATGTTCATTTTTTAATTAACAAAAAAAATTGTATACATTTTCTCAGTTACCAAAAATTTATGTCCAGTTTTTCTTTTAATTGACAAGAAAATGTAGGACCAGTTTTTAAATTACCAAAAAGTTGTGTTAATTTTTTAAATGACCAACAGCCCATGCACTGTTTTTAAGTTACCGAAAATGTATGTCCAGGTTTTAAATTAGTAAAACCAAATTCGAAGTTCTACATTGGCAAAAAAATATTTTTTAAATGAACAAAAATTTATGTCCAGCCAGTTTTTATGTTAATCAAAACCTAATTCCAATTTTGAAATTAGTAAAAAATGTATGACTAGTTTTTTAATTACCAAAAAATTATGTCCAAGTTTTTAATTATCAAAAAATGATGTCCAGATTTTAAGTGACCGAAAATTCATGTCCAACTTTGAAAAAAATTCTAGCAATTTATATCCCGTTTCTAAAGCACACAAATTGATGTCCAATTTTTACTTAAAAGCGACATGGCTGTACATTAGGGTGGTCCAAAATAAGTAAAGTCGGAATTTTAATGCTCTCACCCCCTAGGATTGTTCTATATCAAAAGAGTATACCCCTATTTTTTTTTTTTTTTAATCAAAAAATATTTAGAGAGAAAAAAAAAACCACGGCGGTCCTATAAAATATAGTTACTAATAAAAAATTGTTAAAAGAATAATTGGGTTTTATTATTGGGAATCTGTTGAAGAGACACAGAGTCTTCCGATCGAAAAATATTGCTATTCAAGAATTCCATACCATTTCCACGAAAAGTTCTTTTTATTACAACGCTTTTATCAACTTGCAATGTTGTGTGTCCAGAAACTTTCAATGTTGTGGATCCAGAAACTTTCAATGTTGTGTGTCCGACACCATAAAAGCTTTGCTTTGAAAAGTTCCACTAAAAAAGCATAGTGCATAGGGCGACATCTGTAGTGAATAGGGCGAGGTAGATGACATCTAGATGTCGCCCTATGTACTACGTTTGCTACAGCGGAAATAGACGACACGCCATTTCTTTAAATAAAATTAATTGGTGCTCGTTTGTATGTACATACATATGTAAATGCATGTGTGTGCACCTTTCTATTAATATCGTTGAATTATTTTAATATCTATTGCAAAATTTTATTCAGACAGGACTAAAAAGTAGAAAATAAATAATATAAAAAAACTTTTTAATATACAACGCTTTTATAAATAGACTAAAAAGTAGAAAATAATATTTCTCAGTCCCATAGAATTTGTTTTGATAACTTTTGATTTTGAAATTTTAGCAAAAGTCATTATAAACAATCTATGAAATTGAAAATGAAAAGCGTGG